GACCTGCAGATTGGCGGGTCGGATTTGAGTGACCTGCAGTTCGGCGGGTCGGATTTGAGTGACCCGCATTTTTCGATCTTTTCGGCCGCCGTCTTGGACTTTGGCCTCCAAACTTTGTGCAGTTTTGGTGGCTTCTTTTCCACTTCTTCCCTCTGCAATCTTTTGACCTCTTGCGCAAGAATTCGCGCGCGCAAGCAGTACGCGACGCTTTTTGATCCGCTCTTCAAGAGTTGAACGGGTCCTTTTGACTTGTACCCATTCACTTGTTGGTGATTTGGAGGAGAGGGCATTTGTCCGCTGTTGGGGCGCTTGACGTTGCCTAATTTTCAGATCCGTCTCGTAACGGATCCCGTCAATTGACTCCAAAGCCCTAGCGAGTTGGCGCGCAAGGCGTTGGCGCTGCCTTTGGCGAGCTCTCTTCGATAAAATGGACGCGCTTTCTGTACTCAACTCCTTGATTGAGGAGGAGTTCAGATCTGCAGATTTGGACTCATTGGAGGCTGGAAGGGCGTTGTAAGGTTCAGCTACCGCAACAACGGGGGCGTTGATCTTCCTTCGCTTGCGAGAGGCGGAGGATCTGGAGGAGGAGGACGACAGATATTCCTCGAACTTCAGTTGGTCGAACTCGTACTCGACCACTTCTTCAACCGGGATGCAGATCCGAGGTTACGACACGACAGCTCCGGCAGCGAAGCTGTTGGCTCCCACTATGGTCGCCAGTTTGTTTGCGTCGAAAATTGTTGTATTCATTGCAGTATTCATTACAACTTCGATCGTTACAATGAAAACAAAAGGATAATCTTTTTTATAAGATCTTTACACAATGAAAACAAAAGTTACAACTCTCGTCAAAACAAACGCAAAGATCGTTTATCGGTCTTCTGCTTGCGTGGGATCTTTGTCTGTGCCGGGGTTTATCCGTGGACCGCCTTTTATCCGTGGACCGCCTTAGATCTGGATCCGGTTGATGAAAAATTTGGCAGAGCTTCGTCTTTACCGAGAAAGTATTTGATTTGAAGCGCTGAGATCGACCAAGCGAAATCAGGGCTCTTCTCGAGATTAAGACCAAGCCTAATCTCAAGGGACGGACGGGAACGGGCGTCGGATCTCTCGAACTCTCCTTCTTTATGCCGAAGAACTCGCCAAGATCTGTCAACCCTCGCTGAAATTCATACTCCTTTGACTCCACAATCCGGCAGCACCTCCTCGTCTTGATAATTAATCGTCCCTGCTAAAAGGAGGCCTTAAGCTTGTATTTATAGGCCTCAGATGCGGTTATTTGGATGAGAACAAGTGATTTGGCCTTATCTTTAGTCAATAACAGCCTAACCACGTTTGTAGATGATATCAAGTCAGTTGGGAACCTCTGGAACCAACAAATCTCGAGAAAAATCATCAAAAACCGAACCTTTCCGTCCTGCGCTCGCGCAGGTTTGCCGATTTTTTCTTCTTTTTCGTTCTCTTTCTTCGAGACTTGTCCTTTCGCGTGTTTGGTTCGCTTCGTTGATTTGTATGCTTTGAGTTGATTGACGCATGCGAGCTGATTGGCGCGCGCGAGCTGACTGTCGAGCGCGCAGGTCCCTTGATTCGCCGTTTTGCTTCAGGCGCTTGTCGGCGTCAGATAATCCTCTTAGACTCGGATAACGGTGTTCGTCATCTTCTCTCTGTCTCGAGCTGTGTGCGGACACCTATAGGCATTTTTAGACGCCTACAGCTATGTTACTCGAATTCAGCTTGGAAGAGCTCCATGAGAGCACATCTAGAAATCAACAAAATCATGTTTTTCTACATTATTAATCATTTTTGGAAGTTTTAGCAATCATTTTGGGAGTATTTATCAGCTAGACATCTATGGCACGAAGGAGCTCATGTTATCTTCGAAGCCACCACGGCTAGCATCTTGGTTGTCTTTTTGGAGAGAACAACTCCGGCTCCTTGATCGCTAAATCATGAGAACAATAGGAGAATGTCTCCTTCTTCGCTGGAATAATCTCTTTTCTAGAGTCTTCAGCCCGCAAGGATGTAGAAGAGTTGCCTAGTATCCTCTGGTCGTACCGCACAACCCACAAGAACTTGACCGGGGAGACACCATTTAAGCTAGATTATGGCGCCAAAGCAGTCACTCTCGTCGAAGTAGGTATCCTGACCATCCGACTACAGCACTTCGATGAGGGCGTGAACTCAACAGGATTTCGAGTCGGCCTTGACCTCCTAGACCAGACCCCGAGGGAAAGCGCTCCGGACTCAGGTCACTAATCATCAACAAATCGCCCGCTACTATAACAGCAAGATCCGACCTCAGAGATTCAATTACTAGCGATCTCGTCCTCCGCAAAGCTGATTTAGACAAAGACACTCGTAGAGGCAAGCTAGCACCTAGGAAGACCCCTACACAGTCTTAGAGGAGCTGCAAGCTGTCACCTATCGATTAAGGGCCCCAGACGGGAGAGCCCTCCAGCATCCCTGGAATATCGAGCACCTGCAGCGTTATTTTCAATAATTTCAATGTGTGACTTTCAATAATTTTGTAAATTTCCTTTGATGTCAATGAAATTCTTATGGAAACTGACTCGATTGCTATCTTGCACTTCTATAGTGCCCAATCTATGCAGGAACACTAAGCCATTTGTGCCTTTTCAGGAATAAACCCAATGCACTCACCATATGGTCGACTCCCACAGTTACCTCTCGACCATTATGATCACATTGAATACTCGGACGTCTATGTAAGTCCTGAGCACCCAACCTCAGGGTTGTCCTCTCACCTAATTGTCGTTAGGCCGGCTCTCAGTAGGGCGAAAGACCTAGTCGACTTCAGCAAGTCCTAGGCACACCCTCAGGGTTGAACTTTAGTAAGTTCTAGGCAGTCACCCCCGGTTGAATATTAAGCTCTTGGTGCCTTTTTAGGAATAAACTCAAAACACTCACCATATGGTCGACTTTCACAATAACCTCTTGATCGTCATGGTTACATTGAAGCCCCAGCCGTCTACGTAAATCCTAGGCACTTAACCTCCGGGTTGTCCCTTTTGCCATTTTGCCCACACTGTGGCCCCCACAAAGCAAAAGACATAGTCGATTTCAGCAAGTCCTAGGCACAATCTCAAGGTTGTAAAAGACCTAGTCGGCTTCAATAAGTCTTAGACACAACCTCGGGGGTGTTCAAGTCCCAGGCGTCTACGTAAGTCCTAGGCACCCGACCTCCGGGTCGTCATTCTGCCAAAAGCCCTTAGTGCCATCATGGGTAAACCCAAGGCATGAAATTCAATTGTTCGGTCATCTTCGACAAAAGACTTAGGTATTTCAACTTGCCAGTTCTCGTCGACAAAAGACCCAAACATCACGCCCACAAGCGGCACAAGATGAGCCAATCGTCTCGACTCCACAACATTTGTGTCGACACAATGCGGTAAACTCACAACAATCAACACTTAGTTCTCTCAATCAAAACAAAGCTACAAGCTAACAAAACAAAAACAAGGAATAATTATTTTTTGCTATTTTAAACTTTTTAATTTAAAGTGATATATATATATATATATATATACTATAGGTATATATATGACTATATATGATATATATTATATATATATATATATGATATATATAATATATATATATTATATATATATATATATAGTATATATATATATTATATATATATATATATATATATATACTTATATATATATATATTATATATATTATATATATTATATATTAAGTATATATATCATAAAAATGATCTTCACACAAAAAACTTCATGTAAACACAATATGTATGTCGTTCAGACATTGAAGGAAGTCCTACATCCATGAGAACACAATCTTTCCTTTAGTATTCTTTCAACTAGTCTTGCGTTGTCCGTGCCAAAGCACGGTTTTTTTTTTTTTTTGCTACAGTATTCCCGCCTTTTTAACATCTCCTGTTTTGAATTTTCTGGGAATGCTACAGTAGCCGTTCTGCTACAGTGTATTTTACATGCTCCAGTGTACCTGTGTGCTACAGTAATTTTTTAATTAATTATCTGCTACAGTAATACTGCTACAATAAATCTACTGTAGCATTTATTGTAGCATGAACAGTAACTCTCTGATCCTGCTATTTGTATAAAAGAATAGATCACAACTTTACAAGAGAGAAAAAAAGAAAAATAATTGTTATTCATTAATGTTTAATTGGGTGAATTCCTTCAAGTTATATTCCTCGTATAGTGAAGAAAAAATTTTGTTATTGAGAGTAAAATCTGCTAAAAAATAAATATAAAGCAAAATAATCCGGGCTGGGCTGGGCCAAACCAAAGATGGGCCGGTTCAACCCCTCTGATCTCGGATTTAGCACAAAACCTAGCCCAACCCACAACTCGATGACATTGAGTATTCCTTGAGTCTTGACCCATGACGGGCTGCGTCGGTTCAACCCACATGTCGACTCGGCATGTGCCCACCCCTACAGATTACTCAAAAATTGGACATTGATCAGTCCATCCAGTTTTGAGGAGTTTGCCAAACAAAGCCTTATATTGTTGCATAGTTGTTGTAGAGTATTGTGATTTCTTCTTCACACACAATCTTCGAGCTGTTTAGTAACCCCTACACTAACCAAATAACAGAACTAATCTGCTTAGGGGTTTAAAATGTGTTTGACAAAAAATGATCTAAGATTCGACTAGATTTTTCCATTCAAAAAGGGTACCCCTTAGTTAGGTTATATTCGAGCTGTGTGGATTTTACGTTCTTATCTATTTCGGATCGGTTCTCGAATCCTGCCCCCTACCGAATCCGAACAGAGGAGTTACGGGTTCGGATTCGGGTTGAATTTCGGATCGTTTTCGTGAGAATCCAATTTCATCTCTCCGCCCCCAAAATTCCCAAGGATCATGAAATATCAGCGGTCTCTCTCTTCCCCCTCTCTCTCGCCCCTTTCGCGCCGCCGATCAAACGAACAAAAGGTAAAGCTCAATTTCTCTCTCTTATCTTTCTCTCTCTCTCATTCTATAAACCCTAAATCCTATCATCATTAGGGTTTACTTTCTCTCCCCCAAATCCCACAAAACCCTAAAATCGATCCCTTAAATTTCTTCTAATTGGCGTAGAAGATAGTTCGTTCATCTGATTGCTCGGTAGAAATCAATTCTTGGCGAATCATCTGCTAATTAGGTAAATTTCATCGGTTTCTTGAAATTGATTATGTATTCTATTTGTTGATTGCGGGGTTGATCAATGAAATTGATGGTTTCAGTGAAGTTATTTTATCGTAAATGGCGATTGCCGCTTCTGGGCAACTGAACCTGGATGAAGCTCCATCTTGGGGTTCTCGGAGCGTCGACTGCTTCGAGAAATTGGAGCAGATTGGGGAAGGGACTTATGGGTAAGTCGAATTAATTCAAAAAGTTCTTTTTGTTTCTCAAGGAAATCTAGAAATCTCTCTTTTTTGTGTATTATTATTTGAGATTATTATTGCTGGTTAAATTAATTCGATTGGTGGGAGGTCTTATCATTCAATGAAAATTATCCCAAAGTGCTCCCTTTCTTGATTTTATCATGAAAATTTGTCTTGATTAAGTTTCTTACATCTAAGCTGAACGACATTGAGATATTGATTTGAGAATTAACTGACCTGAAGTTTCCTAGAGTTTTCCCTGTTTATCCTGTATCACATGATGCCTCAACTCCCAGTAATTGCACTACTATTATTGTACAGGTTTATAAGAGATGTAGACCGTTCATGTAATGATTTTTTATCACATATAATTTGTAACAATTAGGAATGGAAATTCCAGTTGTTTCGGGCTTTCAGGACGAGCAGGTTAAAGTTGGGATATTCTGGTTTGGTTCCTTTCTCCCATTCTTCAGCATTCTTGTTACCGGTATACAAAATGATGATTTGTTTTAGGAATTGACCCATATTACTGGAAACTAGTTATTGTGAGATGGGGGGTGAAGTGCAGTGCTTTGATTATATAGTATTAGGGATTTAAAAGAAAAATTGTCTTTAGCATTATGGCTTATAGAATGAGGATTCATCTTTCATACATATGCAAGAAAAGCATTTATGAAAACTCAATAGAGTAAATATGGCATGGTGGATGTTTTGGTGTGAGCTAGGTAGCAGATATTGAATTATGGGATAAATGCTTTTGTATCTGTTGTTGGTTTAAGAGGCAGACATAAGATTAAAGTGTTTTTTGATTAAAATGTAGAAGAGAATGAACCACATTGGGCCCAACAGATTGTGCAACTCTACTATATGTCAAGTCTTCCTAGGGTGTCATGTCACAAATAAACTTCTAATCTACATATATGATGGTGATGAACTTAACGAAGAAGATAATTACAGACAAACTGAATTACAGAACATGATTTATGTAACCAACCTCCCACGTTTGCAGTGAATGCATTCTGTTTGCGTTGTTGTATGCTTGTCACCTACTTTAGGTCAGTTTCAACAGTTTGCATACAATGCTTGGAAGTAGGAATGCCACTGAAGTTTTGATCTTTAGCTTTGTTATTCATCAACTAGTAGTGGCTTCTTGCAGCTGTTACATGCACTTTTATACTTCTTTTGTTTTACAATAATAATGGTTCCTATTAGTGCACAATGCTGCCCCCCCCCCTGCGCCCGCTATCTCTCTCTGTGTGTGTGCTCGCCTCTCTCTTTCAACTGAAAGATCTTTTATTTATAGATCATTCATCTTTCCTCCCCCATGATTTCCGCATCTCCAGAATAGGATTTATGATACTTTTGTCAATATATTTTACCATGTTATCGAGTGTTTCACATGGTTTTGTAGTAACTAATTACATATTTACTTTTATTAAGTCAGAAAGTTGACAGTTTCTTTTTTTGATTCCCATATTCTTTATTTTAACTTAATGCTTACATCTTAAAGTTTGCATATCATGTTCTTTTGGATTCTTTGTTGACAATCTTTCCCATGACGTTATTGTATACCATTTAATACTACAGTAAAACTTTTTATGTGCTCAATGCACATTGATTAAATATTTTAACTCGTTGATAGAAACTTGTTAGGCACATGTAATCATGAGTAAAGAGTGTGAGTTCAGTTAGCATAATTTGCTATGCATGAACCAAAATGTGAGCAGCATACGAATGAAGATTTGAACCCACCAGGTTTTGAGATCAGTAGGCTTAGCAAAATCATCTTGAATATTTCTGCAATATTGTGATTTGGAGAGAGTAGCAAGTCAGATCACGTAGGAAAAAGAATGCTGTCAATCCGTTAATTAAACCCAAGAGTTAGTTCTCAAGAGCAACAAAAGCTTATTGAGCTATTAGTTTCAGCCTTTCAGGAATGTTGTATTTGACGTGTAAAGACATAGTTCTAGCAGAAAGTGATGTAGCTGTCAAGGGAACTCAAACTAGTGGGTTGAAAATGGAAGGCGGGAAGCAGACCGGGTATGGAGGCGTGAATGGGAGGAGGTGGAGGATGGGAACCATCAAAGATAAAAGGGAGAGGATTTGTGTGCTATCAAAGCGGACTGAAGCAGAGAGCACAGTTGAGTTACAAGACAATTTTATAGGGGGTTTAGATTAGCAAAATATGTTTAGGATTTAACTTAGGAAACCTGTGGCCAATATTGTCTCTTGACATAAGCATGTTCTTTAAGCCACTATTCTATAGTTTAGATTAATTTCATTTCTAGAAATGTGAGCTATCAGTAGTTTGACTTTCAATTTGACTAATCTGTTTTTCCTTTTGGGGCTGTTTGTTTCACAAAAAATTTATGGAAAAAGCTTTGATTCGATGACCATTTCTACAAACCCATGAGAAATTGTACGATTTCCCACAAGTTTTCTTGTTTTTGTTTGTTTACCACTTTGAAACCACAAGAAAAAGTGAGCTGGCTCCCTCCCATTGGTTGATGTGACTCTAATTTAGGGAAACCCATTTCAGAGCTTTTGGGTACGAAATGGGATGACACCCTTTTTGAGGTTTCTTTACTAATATCCTCTTTTTAGGTTTTCTGGAAAACGAACCAGACAGCCCCTTAAGAATGTAGCTTTTAGATCAATATTATTTTATTTTTCAGTCACCCATAAAATTAATATTGGCCTATAGTAATTGAATGTTATCTTTTCTTGGTACTCTGTTCGTGCTATGTTTTTCTACGGTCATTTCTTAATTAGTAATTCTCTTTCTAGTTGGTCTTCATAATGTTTATAATCTACAGTGATAATTGTGATGTGTAAACCTCTGCTAAGTTACTCCAGGCTGTCCACTATTCTTCTCAAGCATTCCTATTAAAACTCTTGATTTGTGCGCGTACGTGCATTGGTTGTGTGCTTATAAGTGTGTGAGCTTATGCACGTGTCTGCTACATTTGTGCAACACAGTGGTTTCTGCTTGTTGGAGCCATTGTCATCTTATTTTTATTAAATTAATCTATTTCTTTCTAGCAGTTAATTAGTTCTCTTTTTTTTTTGGGTTATTGCAGACAGGTGTATATGGCAAAAGAAATAAGAACAGGAGAAGTAGTAGCATTGAAAAAAATTAGAATGGACAATGAGAGAGAAGGGGTATGCATTCCTATCCATATGTTATGGAAATCTTTGTCTTGTTGCATCATGCTTGTTAATACTGATATGTTTTATTTTGCAGTTTCCTATAACGGCAATACGTGAAATAAAAATTCTGAAGAAGCTGCAACATGAGAATGTTATTCAACTGAAAGAAATTGTAACTTCTCCAGGTTGCTTTTAAGACAATCTGGGCCTTGATAAGTTTATTGTTTTATCCCTGACATCTTTGTTGTATTTTGTTTCTTGCTTGGCCTGTTGGTTTATTCCAAAATCTTACTTTGTTGTAAATACTTTCAGGTCCAGAAAAAGATGAGCAAGGAAGACCAGGTGTGACTCTATTATTACATTGTCTTATACTCAGCTATAAAATAGTTTAATATTTGTGTGAGTTTCTTTCAAAAAAGTGATCTTTACACAGAGGATAAGGGAACTGATTTTAGCTTGTTTCCTTCCCTTGCAACTGCTCGGTTAGTGAGAATCAGTCTAATGTTTTAATTTTCTTGTGAGACACAGATGGAAACAAATACAAGGGAAGTATCTACATGGTATTTGAGTATATGGATCACGATCTGACTGGCCTTTCAGATCGTCCTGGTATGAGATTTACAGTACCTCAGATAAAGGTACCAAATTTTAGATGACACTTTGAATTGTCTGTTATGCTACTATTTTTCTTTTTTGATGACTACTAATAATTTTTTTTTAACTTTTTCCAGTGCTACATGAGGCAGCTGCTAACTGGATTGCATTATTGCCACGTGAACCAAGTGCTACATCGTGACATAAAAGGTTTCCATTAAATCATTCTGTTCATTCAGCTCACCCTTTTTTGCAAATATTATTCTGATAATGTTAGTGTTTTATATCTTTTGATGGTCCAGGGTCAAATTTACTCATTGATAATGATGGAAATTTAAAGCTTGCTGATTTTGGACTTGCACGCTCCTTCTCCAGTGATCATAATGGAAATTTAACAAATCGCGTGATCACTTTATGGTACAGGTGAGATATAGTAATTAAATTGTTAACACAAGCCGTGTTGACAGTTTTGGTACTGACTTTATCATGTAGTAATCAAATAGTAGTTATTGTACGGCTCTTTATTTTTAATTGCTTCAGGGTCATATTGGTTTGGTAACTTTGGTTACAGACCTCCGGAGCTTTTGCTTGGGGCGACGAAGTATGGTCCAGCTGTTGACATGTGGTCTGTTGGATGTATATTTGCAGAACTTCTTCATGGAAAACCGATCTTGCCTGGAAAGAATGAGGTGAGATTGCTCATTGTATTTGTCATTTTACATGACTAATATACTGTTTGAATGGCTCTATTTTCTGCTTTATTTAACCATTGCTAATTGCTTCCTGGAGGCTAAATATTATTAGATACCCGAATCTGAATTAACTTGTTCTTCCTTTTAGGCAACTCTCAGATTAATCGAACAGATCCATTGTCTTTTACTTTCCATCCTAGTCCTCTAAACCAAATGGAGTCCGTACATTTAAACTTAACATATACTTGCGAGACCATATGCATGAACTACAAACAGTTGGTACATATCGCATGTTTTCACTTTTCTCAAGTCCCGGAAATCTTACAGCACCTACTTTCCAGCATAGAGGCAATTACATTTGAGCACCGTCATATGTTTCTTGTTTGCTCTTTAAAACTTCTATTACTTTTGATTTGTCCTAGTTAAGACTGTTTTGCTTTTAATTTTAATTTCATTTATTTTCCTATTCTCACATACCTGGTAGGATTTACATTATCATAATTGTTTGATTTCTGCAGCCAGAGCAATTGACTAAGATTTTTGAACTTTGTGGAACACCGGATGAGATTAATTGGCCTGGTGTTACCAAGATACCCTGGTATAACAACTTCAAGCCATCAAGGCCAATGAAGAGGCGTGTGAGAGAGGTTTTTAAGCAGTAAGCAACCTGTAGTTCTAAACATGTTTTGGCAATTATAGTCTTGTAATGCAGTCTAGGCTGGGTTTCCATCTTTGCTGAAGTTTTATACTAGAGGGTTGTATTCATATTTTCTAAGTCTAATTGGGGTACATGTTGCCTGTCAGTTTTGACCGCCATGCATTGGAGTTACTTGAGAGGATGCTAACACTCGATCCATCTCAGGTATTTAACTGCTGCTTCTGCACGGTATTTTTACAGTATATATTGAACTTCGTTGCTTGGTACTTTTATATTTACTGTATTGTTTTCTCTTCTTCTTTTCAGGTTGCAGCAAGATTCATATGTTTGTAGGAGTTATTTATAATGTGACTGAAATATCTCAATATAACATTGGTCATGGTCCCCCCACCACCCCCCCACAAAAAAAAAAACATGACTAATGTTATATTGAGATATCTCAGTCACATTATTAATAACTCATACAGGCATGAATCTTGCTAGATATTGATTCTGGGCCACACTCTTATTGATATTTCATACCTTATTGTGCATGATTTGTTTGCCAGGTTTTTGGGTGCTTCTCTTTACATTATATGACAAAAAACTAAAAAAAATTCTTATTTTTCACATTTTGTTGGAAGATATTTCTAGAGAATGCACCTGCAGCTTAAATACTTGCCATCACGCTCAAAAGTTTTCCAATTGCTTCCTTGGTTTTTATGTATCAAAGTATTTTGTAATTTCCAATTGCTCTCCATTATACATCTGTACTATCTGTGATTTTGTTGGTAGTATCATGCTAGTTTCAGTGTTTCTGATATCCTTGTCTTGGAGTACTGTATGTCTACCTGATGATATTCTTCCCCCTGTTATCATCTTTTGAAATCTGAGCATATCTCTCGTACTAAAACCTTTGCTTCCATTTTATTCAATGATCTTTTATTATTCTTGAGTAGCCTGTAGTGTATGTGATGTATTTTGGTGTTAGATACCCACACCTTAGCTCTTCTTTTAGAACAGACTGCATTTAATCTTACATTCTGTATTATGTAAATAATATATGCTACCATTATCCTTAGGGTGGTTAATCAGTGGTATTGCCTTAAGTGAATTCTGGCTAGTCGATAACTGAATTAAGAACCTAGCGGAGAAATAGGAGAATATTTATGGGTGCCATTTATTAGCTTCTATTTTATTTAATTATTGATTAGTCCTTAATGTTTATTATGTATGCATTACTTATATTTTGTTAATAAATATTCAAGGATGATTATAAACTACGAAACTATATTTGTTAATAAATATTCAAGGATGATTATAAACTATGAAATTATATTTGTTATTATATATTCAATGGTGATTACAAAGATAATGATTGTCAGCAGTAATTTGATTCACTACTATTATTTTTATATATAGATATATTTAGCTATTCTGGGCATAGCTAAGCTGTTTAAAAAAAAACTCTATTTAACACTTTCAATCCACCAGACAATGCAATTAAATTTAATTTACACAAACCTTATCATGCTTCATTCCGTCAGTTAGCTATAACACATCGTATTGCAATTATTTCACCAAATAGCATGGGGAAATGGGGAATGGGGTAATCCTCAGATCTGGTAAGTGACCCTTGTAGGTTACTGGAACTTGTCAGTGCCCTTGTTCCACTCAGTTCTCTACTTGGCTTAGCACCTTAAATTGCTTATTTGTACAACTTGATGGCAGGTGAAATTGAAATATTTAAAAAAGAAGAGGTAAGTGGCTAATGCATTTTGACTTACCCCCTCACCCCTTTCCTATGTCATTGAAGAATTATATTTATGGAAAGAGCAGTTTAAACTTTGGCACCATAGTTCGATCTTCTTCATAGGAGATCACACGTTTCTGTTATTATGGGACATGATAAGTGGTGCATTACTTATATCTATTTTTCCATTGGTGCAGCCCCTTGTTCTAACATCAGAAATTTCTTGAGCTGATAACCTATTTGTCTTGTATACTTTCATGATATACTGTAGATCCCTGATTTTCATCTCAACTTTTCTTGTCCTACTTTTTTTAGAGAATCTCTGCAAAGGATGCACTAGACGCGGAGTACTTCTGGAATGACCCATTACCATGTGATCCTAAAAGGTTCATCTAATTCCAGAATTATCCATATTTAGTACATGCTCCAGTATACGATAATATACTACCAAACTGGCCTAGTGGGCTTTATCTAAAGTTTCTCATGTTAAGTATTTTCTTTTCACACAGTTTACCGAAATACGAATCCTCTCACGAGTTCCAAACCAAGAAGAAAGGGCAGGCAACAAGCGACAGCATGAGGAGATGGCGAAGCGACAGAAAGCTCGCAGCATCCAACAGCACCACACCCGCCTCCCTTCCAATCCTAGCCAAACCAGGGGGGCAGGCCACACCCTACAGATTCGGCGCAGGCGCGGGCCCTCTGCAGCCCATCCACAACCATCCGTCAAAGATGGCAGCAGGTGCCCGAAGCCACCATTATGGGAAGCCACAGGGACGGGTGGGAACGCTACCCCACAGGCGGAAACCCTAGCGGTGATAACAACAACTCCTAATCACCCGAGTCGCGGTAGGGCCAGGGTGGCGGAGGCTACAGTCAGTGGGAGCCCTATCCGCCGCAGGGCCGCGGGCCCAGTATGCGGGAGCGGGGATGCGGGAGCTTGGTAGAGGCGGTGGCAGTAGTGGTGCTGGGTTATGGTGCCCCGAACTATCCACCGGGGGGCCCATATGGGGGTTCTGGTGGTGGGCGAGGACCGAACATGGGTGGTAGTCGCAACCAGCAGTACAATAACTGGCAGTAGCTGGGCTCAGTGCAGCTTTTTGGCAATGGGTTGTATCTGAGGTTAACATTCTGTTATAACTTAATCAAGGACTGGTTCCCCAGTGCTTTGTATATCCATCTGTTGGTTTGGGTATATTGAGGTTCGGCGGTCTGTTCTTGAATTTAGGACGACATTTATTATTGGTTTGAGTTGGACTGGGACCAGAGGAAACCAGGAAATCGTACCAAGAGTGATCTGATGTATACTGGTAATCCATAGAGTTACATATTTCTTCAATGTCATTTGATGTCATGCATTTGAGAAAATAGTGAGCTTACAGGCCCGTTGGTTGGTGTCAAGATTTGTGCTGTTCTGCTTCATATTTATATGGTTTGTCTAGAATGCAGCTGCTACTCGCCAGCTATAAATTGCATAGACCTGGAATGTAGTCTTCATCTTTCACTAATTCTGTGGTTTCTGCGCACTGTTTCACGAAAAAGAGTACGGGGTTTTTTTTTTTCTCGTTCTTTTCCCCGGGTGCTGGAGTTTTTATTTTCCTATGTCCTGAGGTAACAAAGACGCCCGGTGCTGGAGTTGCGGATGGTACGTGGAAGCGACGGGGCGAGGATTCCTTTTCTTAGGAACACACCACTTCTGGCAAATGCTGCTATGCTTGCTTGCTAAGAAGATGTTGAGGCCCTGGAGCCCCTGGTGCAGTACCTACGCGTTTCAAATTAATGCCGAGTAAAGAATATTATTTTCTTTTCTTTTTCTCCTGGTTATTGCCTGCATCCGATTATCCGAACATTTGAAGAAGACGAAGGCCAATCGCTCGTTTCACTCCGCATCCTGCTCTACTCAGTGTCACGCGAAGTTATAGTTGTCGTTCATGTAACTTCGCCCATATGTAATCCAGAACCCACAGAAGCGATGATGCTTGCTTCTGGCCATTATTTGAGGCAAAACTATGTGAACCCGGAGTCGCTTATGATATCTAAAATTGTGGATGTGTGGCGCGTGCGCGTGTGTTTGTGTGAGAAATCCGAACCCGGTCCCTTGATAATACTGCTAGACGAACTAGGACTACGTACATAATGCGACCTTAATTCCAAATGGAACAAGCATTGAAACAACAAATAATGAACCTACTCCTACTCGGGGTGGGCTAATATGACACCTCTAAATATACGACAAGCCGTAAAAAAAACTTGGAAATGTCAATAAGCAAACAAGAGAATATCCAGTGGAAGACGAGCTTGAAGAGGAGCGAGTCCGCATCGGATTTCTTCTGTGCTGAATACCAGCAGCCCAAGCTGAAGTTCAGCGATCTTTGCGTGTCGAGAGAGACGAACAGCACGATGCCAGCGGCACTTACAACGCGCAGATGCGACTCCTGGCAAGGCAGAAGTTTATGACGAGCTACGGATCGAGAAAGAAATAGAGCGCCATGAAGAAGACCATCAAACTCTTTGCGAGCTTGAATCCCTTTGCTGATGGCAATAGTATTAAAAATAAGCAATATGATGCAGCTAGCGGCATTGGATATCTGTTTTCCTTCTTTCAGTTTCTTCTAGTTTCTAGTTCTTTCAACCGTGAGGACGTGATTGTATGATCCTCTCAGATAATTTTTTTTGTAATTTTCCTCTCTTTTTTCCCCCCATCAGAGTTAACGTAAGCTAGTTTTTTAAGTAATTTTTTTAAATCCTTTTTATTTGTCTATTCTTTCTGTGCTTGTGAAAATTAAGTGTACGAAGAAAAAGCCACTGAAATTTTTCTACACAGAATTCCATCTAAACGTCCTTACAAACAAGTCCCTTCTTTTTTTTTTTCTCCCCTAATCAACACGTATATTGCTCCCAAGATTTGTCTCCAAAACGTTTTTTAATTTACACGATAAAATATAGATGATCAAGCACATCAAATACAAAAAACTTTCAACACAAGCTACATAAATCATTAATCAGAGGTAGAAGTTCATTAGGAAATAAGTATGTTTAGCAGAAAGTTAGATAACTTCAATACAAAGATAGACATCTTTTAAGCATGGAGGCAGAAAGTTTCATATAAATTAGAGAAGTATATTCGTATGCCTTCTGCATCCCAACCTCATACAGTGCTCCGCTAGCTGCACTGGACGCCCGTGTCGGAATCTGACGTCTCTGTATCAATCCAAGGATTTGGAATGAGCAGTCCCTGTAGAAGAATTGATGCAATTATCTTGTGAGAAAAGTTCTTATCGGTGGACCATATAAGATGAAGAACAATACCCAATGCCCAGCCGCTCCTTCTTGAACTCCGCCTTACCTCAAATTAGTTCAAATCTTCCTCTTTCCTTTTCCCCACACTTGATCTCAAGGTGTTACATATGAGTTGGAGAAGATGGAAGCAAGTCAACTATGATTTGTTCCTATTTTTACCATCCGCAGGAATTGAATCGTAGAAAGCATATAGTGCACAGGGCCTTGAATGTTAGCAACATACTGGAAAACTAACCAAAGAAAGACAATAGAGAGAAGGAAAGGTGGAGAACATAAAGAAGGAAACATAGAGAAACAATCATAGAGACAAAGATTTAACGACGTTCGACAATCAATGTGATTACTTAAGTCCTCGGGGTACGACTAGGTCACGATTCCATTGCTATAATCAATAAATGATTACAACCGGTCTCTCAAAAACTCACCTCCATGCCTTCTCTATTTCTCTCTTCTTGATACAAAATATAATAGACAACCAAAGATGCATATTTATAGCATAGGGTTTATGCCTACGAGCTCGGAAATTCATAAAATACTCTCAATATAGAATCATAAATTAAAATTTTCTTCCAGGGGACCTTTCCCACTGGACCTCTGTCTGCTGATCAGTCAGCGGGACCCCCCCCTCAAGGACCCATTATAGTTGGGTGCAATTATATAGGCGCCCATTATGGGTCTTAATGATATGTATTCTCCATGTAAATTAGGGTCCACAAACAACATTAAACACATTCACAAATCAAATCCTTAGTTTACAAATAAGTGATATTGATCTTTCTCTGACATATAACACAAATCATTTTGAGTAGAGAGACTCATACAATCTTTTTTTTTTTGAGAATAAAACAAGAGATATACCCTGTTCATTAATATATATCAAAAGTATAGCTACAAGAGTAGGATACGAACTGTATCCATAGAAATTAGAAGATAGAAAATATAATTTCTCTTAACTAGTGATGTATAACCTTCTTCTTCCAAACATCCATGAAGGTGAAGAGTGGGCCTTGTCGTCATTCACCGTAGACATGGATATAGGGAAGAACCACAGCCGACCATACATATAGTAAAAAGAAACTATATTTTCTATAATCCAATAAAAACAAAAAGGAGGACCACAAAATATGTTCTTTGCACAAACAACACAAAAGACTAACATATGCTATCATCCACTGCTCCTCGAGATTGGCTTGACTTCTAATGCAGCTGCTAACTTGAGTTCAGAACTTCCTCTTCCAGAATCTGTCCATTCATATAATCCAATGATAGTTGAGTTAATAATGGACTGAACAGAGAAGTTGACCTGTTCAAAAATAAAATTATTCCTTGTAGACCATAAATTCCAGCAAACCGAAGATAAAATAGCGCCATAAGATCCCATCAATTTTTTGTGGAGACTCTACAGAGTGAAGAAGGTCATAGAGAGATGTCGGCCATTTGAAAGGCATATAGTAATCACTGAAATGCTTCCACACTTTTTTAGCTATATTGCATGAGAAGAAAAGATGACCTCTAGATTCAGGATGTGTACCACATAATAAGCAAGTAGGATCCCCTTGCCAACCTTTCTTCATAAGATTATCTTTGGTGTGTAGTCCATTCATAGATAAAAGCCATGTGAAAAACTGAATTTTGCTAGGCATTATAGGATTCCATATAACTTTGAAAATGGCAGAAGGAATTCCTCTAGAGTTTAAGAAAACATACAAAGACTTGACTGAGAAAGAGCCACTTGATGTAAGAGAACATTTAGGAACATCCACTTGATTGGTAACTCTGTGCAAACCAATAAGATTAATGAGCTCTAGCTTTGCAGTGGAAGATACAGATGAGATGCTTCTCTTCAAAATTGGATGCCAATGCCATATATGATCATGAAAATTTCCTTGACTACGAGTAGAAACATTTGTAGACAAAGAGAGATTGTATAAACACGCATATAAACTTGCTAATGTGTTATTACCAATCCATTTGTCTTCCCAAGAGATTAACACATTTTAGATCTGTAAAATCACATCTCATGTTTCCTTGACTCATACAGTCTTTTCACCAAGAGATTAACACATACAAGTTTCCTTGACTCATACAGTCTTTTCACCAAGAGATTAACACATTTTAGATCTGTGAACAATTATCACATCTCATGTTATGGCAGCATTTTGAAAACTACCTCTTCGCTTTGAAAATCTCTCAGATAGATCAGACGCAACAGAATACCTATCATTCTCATAACACCCAGTTACGAAAGCAACATATGTTATCTGATCAACACTCTGATCTTCATCCAGCAGTTTGTTTAGAAATAAAAGTGATGCATCCACTTTTCCATCAGAACTCAACTTTCTAACCAAGATATTGGCAGTCCGAACCCAGTGTTTCTTCTCCAATCTCTCCAATAACGAAATCGCAACATCTAACTTCTCTCTCTTGCAATACTCATAAGGTAAAGTTACACGACTAATTTCACTAGGAACCAAACCCTTGTCGAGCATCAGCTCATATAGAGCTCTAGCCTCTTCTAATCTATTTTCTTTGCAAAGCCCACTTATTAAAGCTCCATAAGTAACGGAATCAGCTCCGATTCCACTCTGAATCATTCTATCAAAAAATCTCAAACCAGAATTTGCCTTTCCGTCCCTGAAGTAACCACTTATGATCGAGGTATAAATTTTCTTGTTTGGAACTAAACCTAGCTTAATGCATTCATCGAACAATCTCTCACTCTCGTTCATATTCTTCTGCTTACATTGAGCAGCGATTAATGTGGTATAAGTGTGGATGTCAGGGGCACAACCAACACTAACCATTTGATCAAAAACTTCTTGAGCCTGATTGATTTCTTCTCGCTTGCAATGCTCACTAATAAGAATAGTGTAAGTGACCTTATCAAGCACCAATCCCTCTCGCAGTGCATTTCGAAGGATTCTATAAGCTTCTCGAGGCCTTCCCTTCTTGAAAAGTCCATCAATAATCGAATTATACGTGCACATGTTTGGAAAACAACCTTGTTCTCTCATTAAATTCACCAATTCAAAAGCACGATCAAGATTTCCAACTTTGCAATGCCCATCTATAAGAGTACTATAAGTTTTAATATTTGGAGCCAAACCCTGCTCTTTCATTCGAATAAATAGCATCTCAGCTCGACTCAGCTTTCCTTCTCTACAATACCCAGAAATCATTGCGGTATAAGTTTGAATATTAGGCTTGTAAGAATTGCTCTTAACCAACTTAAGGAAAAGCCTAAATGCCCTCTCAGTCCATCCGATCTTGATCAATCCATCAATTAGTATAGTATGAGTATAAACATTTGGTCTTAGTCCTTTTGCTACCATTTCTTCTAAAACTTGAAAAGCTTGCTTCACACTTCCCTTCTTAGCTAACCCATTAATCAAAGCAGTATAATTTATCACATTAGGAGAAAAACCCATCTCAGACATTCTCTCAAACACCCAACGAACTTTTCTGAACAAACCCTTCTTGCAGAATAAATCAACAACCAAAGTGCACGTCACATTATCGATACAATATCCTCCATGTTCCATTAATCTCAGAAACCTCTCAACTTTACCAGCTTCCCCTGAACGACAAAACCCTGTAACTAAACTCCTAAAACTAGTAACGTCTGCCAAAGCTCCTCTAAGAGACATTTCATCAAACACCCTCTCTGCAAAATTCGCTGCACCCAAATCGACACTAATCTTAAGAATTCGGTTCATGGTGTGAGTGCCTAGAGGTAATCCTTGGTTACTCATATCAAAAACCATATCGACCGCCTCTTTGAACCGCCCAGCTTCGGAGAATTTCTCAACCATAGTTCTCATTACCTCTTGGGCTTTCTCCAAATTGCCATTGGAGATGAGTGAGTCTGCGGTTGTTATGTAGAGATTGAAGTAAGTTTGAAATTTGGGCTGAGAGGTAGCCCAATGGAAGAAGGAGAGGGCAGCCATCGATCCTTCGGTGGCGGAGAGAGAGGCCACGGCGGCCATTGCTTGGTCATGGGAGATGGCTGAGGGCTGGAGAGATTTGAGGGAGCGGTCGCCATTCTCTAAGGATTGGGAGATTAAGGAGCAGAGATTAGAGAGGGGGAGATTGGTGGCGGGGTCTTGGGAGAAATGGCGGGCAAGGATGAGTTTTGGCGGGAAGTAGGTGGGCGAGAGGAGACGGTGGAGGAATGACATCTTCCCTTTTTGGAGACG